CATACGTTTTTGATTTGAACTGCGAACTTTTCTACAAGTCCATGAGGCGCCTCAGTGTTTATACTTTGAATGTTCAGATTATGAAAGCAATCGATACGCATAGAATGAGTACCATAGTGCTATTCTACGCAGGGAAACCGAAAAAACCTGTCGATCTATTGTGCAACTGGTTTTCAATGAGCATTTGAAAGGTTTTCATGCTCTCCATGAGGACCGCGACATCTCGGGTGCATTAGCGACGACATTACCAGTTTTTCATATGAATGAGCCACTGACGGCTGTTATTCTATTTTTGCAAGTGCTGTTGTTTTCTGTTCTGGAAAACCACTTTCACCATTTATAGCATAATTTGAAACGATGGTCGTCTTCTACTTAGAGGTCATCTAGCTTTATTTATGTCTTGTTTGACCCTGTTTTTCATATAGGTTATACAAAATAAAGTCAAATCCACATAGACCATACATGGGATCAAAGCCGAGCGTTTTACCCTTTATCATTCTGAAATATCAAACAGCTGAATAGGTAAGCTTTGGTTGAAGTTTTTCATGCTCAAAGAGGAATGGAAAGGGCGTCTACATTCTTCTGTAAGAAGTATTAACATCTTCATTCCTTTCTTCGAAGAAAATCCTAAAGTGTCAGACTTCCTACATCATTCCTTTTCCAAGAGGTCTTAGTGGACTTTAGTTGTCTTACCATCTTTCAAACTTATTTTTTTTGCACGTCAAGGAGACTATGCTGTTTTATAGATTTCTAGGGTACAAATTCAATAAGTAGATGCCTCACAATGAAGTCGTTTTCTTAGATTTTCTTGGTGGGCACCCTAGAAATGGCATTTAGTTCTCGGGAGCTCTGATATTCATTTAACATGATTTTTATTCAAGAGAAAACCAGCGCTGGAAGTGAAATACCCACACTGCCACGAAATGAGATGGCTCCGCATTTGTATAGTATGAATTGAGTCTAAGAAAAATTTCTTCACAATTTCAACTTGCAAGAACCATTTGTACCAGCAAAATTGCTGAAGAAGAGGCGCTTTGTTTTACGAAATCCCTAAATAAACTTTTTATCACAAAAATATTCAGGACACAGTTCCATCGGAGTTGTCCTTCTCCTCTTCTTTTCTGGTCGTCACAGAGCTCGTTGCCAATTTTTCAGTTAACGATTTGTTTTAATCCGATTATTATCCTCAAATGACCGATTTTTTAAATTAAATACGATACTTCTAAGATCAAACTCACCTCATAGAATTCGATGAACCAATTCGTGCAAGGAACTTGTCGGCTTAGTCAGTTAGCTGACAACTTCAGCTTCAACTTCGTAAACAACCTGTTACCAGGCTAATCAACGCCGCCCCATTCAAGCCATCCACATAACTGAGCTAATGCAAAACAAACCGCTATTCAATACGTTATCGGAAGCGATATGAGAACGAATCTAGTTACCATTACTCATTTTATTCCTTCATTTGCCCTTTTTTTTTATTTATTTAGCCTGAATCCATATATTCTGCGGGTCCCAGTTCTTTTTTTGTGGACTTTGACATTTTCATGACTGCCGTTGAACGCTGGTCGCGAAGAACCTCCTTAGAGTACTGAAACAGCTGTGCTAGAATGTTCCAAAATCTTTATTGCAAGCGCTTATCTGCTTCTATAGGTCAAATGGCGCTCCTCCCAGACAATTCTTGAACCAACTCGTCGGTCACGAACAAATGGCGTCGTTGGCTCTCGGAGATCTCGAACTACGTATCATGCACATATTGTTGCAAGTGTCTGTAACCACGAGGTTTTCCAGGCTGGCTACTTTCATCATAATTACTAACGCCGCCCTCATTAGTATTGATCGCTAAGACGATTTGAGGACGTAATGCGTGCGCATTTATGGATGTGTTTAATTAATTAATCCTGATTAAGCCAACGATTCGGGCTAGTTATTAAGTAGAATGCGTTATCGCTTTGAAGCATTGATTGTGCATATAGTGTTCAGCTGCTGTTGTTATTCATTTAGCGATTCTGTTTCGTTTCGTCTGCCGTCAGCCACACCTGAAGGCTCTTCGTACTATTTCATTTCGAAATAGTCTTACGAGTAATGCAAGTTTCACGCATTTCTTTGGAATACGGAAGAAGTTCTTCACTAGCTCATACTTGGTCAGGATTTTCTCAATCACTCGACATTTTTCTTCTACGATATCCAATTTCATGAAAAGTGCGAGTTCTTTTGGATGCATATGTGGGAATGGAAAATGCTACTCGTTCTTTCTTCCAGTTCCTTTTCTTTTCCTTCTTGCAGACCAGTTAAGTTTTTAGGGACGTCTATGATGAATGCATAGTGTTTCTAACATTCCAATAAGAATGGGTTGCTTATATTTCTGCTGTTATTGTTGCTGCTAACATTATTAATGTGATATTAGTACGTTTCCAGCAACTATTATTACTTATTGTTATTGCTATGTTCCAGTAACTTTATTGTTATTTTCTTCGTGTGTTTGTTGAGCAAACGCGAGGTGTTACTATTCTTTGTTCACGATTAAGCTGACGTTTCGGCGGATTTCGCCTTCTTCAGAGCCGCTTTCTATGAGGTTTCCACTAAGTATGTCACGTAGAGACCAACCACACAGAAATCACGTGGAAGTAATGTTATTGTTATTAAGTAATGTAGTGTAGTAGTAAGTGTAGTAGTGTTAGTAATGTTATTTATTGTTATTTTCTTACTTATTTTGTTATTTTGCTTTTATTGTTGATTTCATTATTGGAATCACTAGTTGTGCTACTCTGTCCAGCGGTTTACCTCCTCATCATGGCTAGGAAGCGTTCCCTGGTGTGGGGCTGCGGTCAACAGCAGGTGGATTCATCCCGCCAGCAAGACCTCCCAGCCCGTGTAGGAGTCGGACGTCTCCATCAAGAAGCCCAGCTAAGAGTAAACCAATACCAAGATCCACAACCGTCCTGGTATCAAACTATTCACATGGCGGTCAATCTCCCTCTCTAATTCACAGGGGCGACGATTGCCTAGAGTGGTGACGACTTGGAGCAGACTTTCGTTAGGCTGATCTCGGTACTCCAAAGAACCACAATGGCTAAACCAGCAAAGCTCTGAAGAAATGGGAACTATGTTAGGGCCCACAAAACCAGTGAAGAGTGGGGGCCGTCCAAGTATCCAAGGTAGCACTACTTCGTTGCTATCATTAATATGTTGTTGTTACTGTTAGCATTATTATCATCATATAAAAATGTTGTTATTATTAGTACTAGTGCTTTTTTGTCAGTATTATATTATTCTTGGGCTAATTGTACTATACTGCAGCAATTCTATCTTCATTACTGCAAAGTGACATAAAAAATATCAGTGATATTGGGTTAGGACGTGAAAGTTTGGCAAGAATATTGATGATAAATGAAAGAAATAGTGGTGGTATAATAATAAGCATTAATCTCAGGCCTCGTCTATCATCTGTAATCCGCTTTTCTTCAAGGATATAGCCGTCGTCTATAAATTTCGCACTCGTATTTGTTGCGCTCCAATTCTACTCAGTTAAGTCCAATGGCATGTGGTCTCCCAGAGCAAACTTAGAACATTCTTCGTAAAGTGGATAACTTATCAAGACATGAGAAAAATGAGAGAAAGCCAACCGAGAAATGAATGAGTAAATAAAAATTAAGTTAAAAAATAAAAAAGCAGATCTTTTGGAGCTTCCATCTCTTGGATTCGTTATTGAATAAATTACGTTGGTTACTCAGTACAGTAACAATATATTTGATTAATTGTGTAACCACGGACTTTGTTGATGACTTTGAAATCCGAAACGCTGAATTCTACTACGATTACGTCACACAGCAAACACATTACGTCAGTGATTTAAGAGTCTGATTTTCTGTCCTCTACTACTGTAAGAGGCGCATATCATACCGACTGATTCGGCTACACCGGTTTCATTTTTCATTCCTTCATTCAATCATTCTGCCTCTCGACGATTGAATACTCCATCAACGGAACTACTCAAGAGCGCTCATGAACTTCCATCCATCTTCCAGCCGCCATAAACAAAGTGTATCGGCTCGTTATAGATATGAAGATATAAGAGCCTTATATAAAGCCAAAGACGTTCCCTAGACATGAAGATATACGAACCTTATATAAAGGCATAGACATCCTTTAGACCCAACATTCTAATTATTATATCCATTCTTGAACATACTTATTTTATTACATTAGTGGGAAGATAAAGGTTTCACAAATTACTTAGTTCAGTGATTACTTTGGTCGTGTTGCTTCCGTACATCGTATTTTTGATGAAAATAATAATGATGAATATCATTACTAATAATAAGAACACTCTGTGTTGAATGAGATTTGGCCGTTCTTCATAAGAAATCGTATAGGTGACAACAAAATTTTAATCAATGGCATTCTTCTGGCTAGACTAAATTGCTTTTCCTGACGAACAGAGGAGGCCACATCAGGGTTCCCATCGGAGGCGCTCACTTACCCATATGAATTTGAGGGGAGTTTGTCACTTTACGGTTAAAGTTGTCACAGGACAGCAGTAGTTCTCATTATAGCTCTATTCGCAGATTTTTTCTACTGGAAATGTCGAACTTCATCTGGACATGTTTGACGTCGTCGATGGGGAAGCATACTTCTCAGTTATTCTACTAGCTATGAACAGCGTGTAATAACAGTAATAGTTGCAATGCGTTCAGCATAGCAGCTATAGGTGACATGCGATACACATAGGGTTGTTGATTTGATTCCGTGGCCTGGGCTTTCCAATTTCTCTATCACTTCGAAAACTGCTACCTGAATTGTCTTCGATGGTGAAAGCACTAACTTAGTGCGTACGTAGGCTTCCGCAAGTCGTTGTATGCCAGCTATACACTCAATCACTTCAATGACGCTATGATAGAGTCGAACGCATGAAGCGCCATTGGTCCCGCTGTTGGTCAGCCGTTATATATTTGATCGTGGCCTGTTATTTGTTTACAATATGCCCGTTATAATTTGTGATGATTGATAGTGTTGAACAAATCACACATTTGTCGATTCGTTGCAGTTCACGGGATGTGATGACTACGAAAAATAAACCATCACAATCGCCACCTCCGTTAACGAGAATCTACTATGTCGATCTCGTATTGGTAAGTTCTTTTCTCCACCATCTGCATTTATTTTGTATGAGTTTTTTTATATATTAGCCATTTTCAGTAAATTTATCGTTCATTTCTCTCGCTTTCTCTCTCTGTCTCTCTCTGCTCCTCTCTCCCTCTCATTCTCGCATCTGATGCCATCTTTGTGTATAAAAGCCTTCTCCACTGATTCAATGCTTCATTGTGATTAACTGCAGTGGCTCCGATTGTTGAACTTCTATGTAAATCGACTCACATCTCTAACCTTCTGAATCACCCAAATCGAAAACTAATTCGCCATTTGTGTTCGGATATTCAAAATTCGCTGTACGGTTACTCAGCATAGAGTAAATTCTCTGACGAAATATCAAAGATAGCAAAATTAGAGGAATTCATAGCAAGATTGATGCTGTTTGTGCCCTTATGCGAAGAGAACCCGCAACTGAGCTGGACGGGTGCGTGACAGCTGTGAAGGTTAAAGTTAATGCTGTCATCTCAAGTTATTCGATGATTAATGGGGTTCAGGTTATGCACCTGCTCAGGTAATATATGTTTAGAAGAAATCTTATATGCATTTAATAAGATTATACCTAATAAGAAGATAATTTGAGGAAACTTGAGGATTGCCGTATTCTCTATGAATGCCGTCGAATGTTGATTGAGTCGTTTCTCTCTATAGTCGTGACATAACCAGCTTAGAGCTTTCCCACTTGCGCTGCAGACATTGAACTTTTCCCAAACGATCCTAGCACCTACTTTCCGACCATGGAGGGTGGAGAGGCTTGGTGAGCCCAATGCGGTGTTGAACCATTACCGTGCTCGTCATGATCGACAACATTACCACTGCGCTACTCTCGCCCACAGTTCTATGGTAACAACAACAACTGAAATAGGTTGCAATTAGGATAAAGGATGTCTTGTGCTGATCAATCCTTTTGGGATGCTTACATGCATTCCACTTCATTCATAGTTCCGTAGAAGTTATTGATTTCACATGTAGTGTACACATTCACTCGAGTATCAAATCTGCTCATGTAGAAAGTTATTGTTTGTCTAGCATTCCTCGATGAGTTCGGTACCTAAACTGCTGACTCCGATATCGTATAGAGCTTTGTTAACCAAGGCTCATGGCTGGCGCGGCACCTTTAACTACTGCGGCAAGTGTGTCTTTAGAGTTATATAATAAGAGTAGGACTTAGAAGGTACTGCAATAGTACTTTATATAGTGGCAAAAGTCGTCTGCATATCGTCGTATTTTGGATGGTTCTGTGACTTAGTAACGCTCACCTATGCATTCTGCTCTTCTCTCAGCTCACCACTATTTTGCTCTTGAGTGACCAACGATGACGGTGAGGCAAAGGAGAGCAGCCATCGAGCCATCCATGGCAGATGTCTGTCCAGGGCGTAGTGAAAATCCCAACCATCTGCCGCTGGGGTTAATCTCCATTCAGCACGATATTCGTGATCGTTATGAATCCCCGTATTGGGTGTAACAGACAGATTTATATTCAACGTGCACAAGGAATGGTAAGATCGTCCTCATCAGCGAGTTAGACGAAGATTTTCTTAAAATTTACCTGTAAGTAAATGCTGACGAAATTTTTTTTAAGAAATAAAACTGATGAAAGGAAAGTTTACGAATGCACTTTTAGAAGAATCATTATTGGATCAAACTATTTCACTGGATGCATGAAGATTCTAGGTGTAGAGAGAATTTCGGAAGTGTTTAACGTCGGAAGTTCCTCCTTTATTTTCAGAAAGCATTGGGGCTCTAATTACCCATACTTTTTTTTACCTGTTTTAAATTTTTTCTAATAATTTCCTAATGGCGGATGTCAGTGGTTTTCTTCGAACGCGTATGGGAAAATACTTCTAATTTCCAAAAGAAAAAGTGGCCAGTCGTCGGAAGAAGGTGATTCGTAATTTAGGGATGAAATAAAGAAAAAACTTTCCACTTTTTCTCTAATAATCAAAAAATCGCTAAAATCCACTTCATCTTTCTCACTGACTACAGAATCTGCCAATCATCTAGTAACTCAGGAAGTCATCAGTTAACGTCATTCGTCCCTGTGGGATGCCAGAGCTGCTCAAGATGCTCAATAGGTCCTTCTAGCTAAGCGGAATGCAGGCGTACTAGACTTTTCGCATAATATCTTTCTACTAATTTTAGTGGGAATGTAGCTACGGGTAAAAAGCCTAGTGCTTAAGTGACACAGGTTTTCTTTTAGCTAACTTTTCTCATGAAAATATTCGCCTCTGTAGTTTCGATGGCCTTGTCTGTACGTAGAAATTACGCTCGGCAACGAAGATACCCCCAGCTATGGCTGGACAATAAATCGCTAACGGAAAATCTTAATGAGTAACATTTTTTAAGGCTTAACCTTCCTATTGATGAATTTTACTGGTTGTTTCAGGTTTTGGCGATCCTTTATAGAAATATGACATTCTTTTCTTATTTTTTACCCTATAATTGCTCCAGCAGCTACAAAGGATGGCAACATAGTCCGGTTTAGTTCAGTGTCAATAATGAAGATCAAAGGATGGCAACATAGTCCGGTTTAGTTCAGTGTCAATAATGAAGATATGATTTATTCATGATGTGAAGCCGTCAGCAACTCGCCTATTATGATTGGATATAGCACGAATACTTACATAAGTAATATAATTGCCAATTATCTTTGTAAAGTATAGGCAAAAATGTATTAAAGCAAGACTTTGGTACGGTGAACATAACATAGCGACGTTTAAATAAATTAAAAGCTTAAACGATAAGAGCACAACATGTTCTTTCCTATTACAGTCTCTTGAGGTCCTCGTTTTTTTTTGGCGAAAGAGGGATATTTCGCAAACCCTGCCATCGCCGCCGCTACTGGTGGGAATGGCTTCTTTGTGCTCGAGTCACACGAGAACTAATGGGGTTATAGATATTATCTCTGCATGGTTCGTCAGGCGTTTCATTCTACCGGTTCAGGAAAATTGGTAGTAGGCTTGCCTGAAAAAACTCACTCTCTCAAATCCAAGGATGAACGCTTCATGCCAGCTGTTTTATAACTCGAGTGATAATCAGCTCATCCGGGATTCAACGGCATTCAAAAAGGAGATGACGTTCATCCAGCAGAAAGCTGGAAGACCTTCGTGATAATGAATCCGCGGATGCAGTACTTAGAAGTGCCCCCGATACACACCTAATACTTGATCCGACCACGCTCTTCGAGCTAGTCGAATCCTTCATGCATTTGGGATCGACAAATGATGCCACAACTTTTATTCCGAAGAAAAAAACGCTGAATTGATAGCTCCGTACGTTGCCGTGAGTACCGGAATAAACCGAATATATATTCATTCATCCTTGTGACTTTACGAATAGAGTTGAATTCATATCGCATCGCTAGCGGATTGAGCCGCACTATTCGATCTGTTCTCCACCACTCATTAATACTTTTTATGGGATTTATGGGATTACTACTTTTATGGGATTTGTCATAAGAACTCATTGTTTTATTTCCCCATAGCTTCTGCACAGCGTTTCTGTATGAAATCTGATACTCATTCTGCGGTATTTATCATTTAAGAATTGAATGAATTAGCGAAAACTAAGGCAGCTTCGCGTTTCAGATTGGTCTCACCGTCATCTTCGGCACCGTCGGTTTGCTGTTCCCGAAAGTTCCGTTGCTGATTTGGCTTCCGTCGCTCCTTTTGCTCTGCTCGTCTTGTGTTTCATTGTCAGCTTTGATTTATTTGAGTAAGGTGAAAACTCCAAATTATTTGTTAGGAACTTTAAAAGTGGGTAATTAGAATGGTAAGAACACGTGTAAATGTTTTATTCATTTCAGGGTATCGCACTTCGATCACGTGATAATCTTCTTTTCTACATATTATTGACGGTCGTGTTGATAGTTTTTGTAGGTTCTTTGGACAACATATTTTATCAACTTTCTATTAATAGAATTAAGAATCTTAATAGACATAAGAAAGTCATGTCTTGTAAACAAGAATCAGTCGAGTCAGTCGTAATGAGAAATGAGTCCGGTGTTCTATTCCAGGACACTCTTCATACGTTTATACTTTTGATGTAAATATTTTCAACGGTTCCAGGACATTTTTACTCGCTAGAAAACACTTTTCTAAAATAACCTTTTTCGTTTTTATTTTGTTGTTTTTCGAACTTAATAGATTTGTTGTTGAATATTTTCCGATCCATTTAAGCGAATAGTGTGCGCCAGCTTACTTCTGATTGGAGTGTTCGTGCCGCATGCTGTCACTTGGATCAACATCTCACTGGCTACGAGTGAGTCTTTTTATATGATCTTAACCCTTTTATTTACTGCCTTTTTCTTTTCTTTTTGTATGTTTCTATCAAAAATCGATAGACAGACTACCACGTCGTCCAGCAATCAAAAGAACCATCTTGAAATTCTGACCAATATGAAAGTAGAGAATGAATATAAAGTTTTTCAAAAAGCCTCATCTACTGGTGGAAGTCCTGTGTCAACAGAAACAAACAACAGGTTTTGTTTTTTCAAATAAAATGTGCTCGGTGACGTTGAAACCAACGCTGAAGTTTGAGATGTTGGATTTTTCACTTTTCCTTGGTATTTGTGCTTACGCCTTGTTTATTCCATGTGGGAATTCCATCTGGCGAAGTAGTAATGAAGAAACTTGGGTCGCAGTCTTTTCCAAAAAGATCTTCATAGGGAATATTTTCTTTGCATAATCTGGCATCACAGATTGTATGGGTTCCAGCGCTTTATTCCATGGGATTCGGAGACTGATTGAGGCTTTTAGTCTTCTTCATGAACTGGGTTGAACGCTTATCGAGTGGTTCACCTTGAATTCTCGGAACAACTTCTTGAGCATAGAGAGAGTGATCTGGTTCATTCGGGTACCAGTCTCCTGACCACAGAGAAATAGAAGACCTGAAAGCCATGGGAAGGGGCCGAACGGGTTCCTAGTTTTGTTAGGCGTTCCGTGTAATGAATCACTACGTCACTACTACTCCGCTACTCGTCTCCTGAATGTAATGGTTAGAAAACATTTCCCTCGTTTCGTTTTAATAATTTCCATAAAGGCTTGTGTCTCAGCGACTTTTTTTACACAGATGATTATTTTAAGTCTCACAAGCACATGCTATTTTTGGACTGATAGCCGTCGGTAAAGTGACATTTTTTCGACTCAGGCTGGATAAGAGAAACACCTCGAAAGATGCCAAGTAGGTTTTTTAGGCATTGACGGCCTAAATTAGAAACAAATATGATTAAAGATTACTGGAGCTTAAGGAAAAGGAGGATTTCAGGTTTTCACCTCATCGGATCGAAGAAATTGCAATCGTGAACCTCAGTGATAGCCGCGTCACGTTGGTTACAAATATCGACGAGGGCGAACTGGTGCACTTTGACTCGTCATGAACTTGAATTTACAAGAAAACTTCCGAGGGCAAACATATGACCTGTCGCTCGTCTTAATGGTCTCAGAAAGACTAGCGTTTTTTAACACTGTGTGACCATAGTTGAGAAACTTCCCCTGCATTTCTTTGTTCAGTTCCTGTTGTATTTATATTTTTGCTCACATTTTAAAGAACAAGGACTTTCTGTTCTAAATCATTCCATTCTTTCTATTGTCACACGGTACAGTAAGCATCAAGTTTCTGATGCCTTTATAAAACCATTTTATGATTTTTTTCTTAGTTTGTTGTTATTTTTGTGTTTTTATTCTAGATCCCAAACTTAGCTCAAATACATCCTTTTGCGATGGAATATACAGTAGCCCAGGATGATAACACTAGTGGCTGGTACAACTAGGAGTACGGTCTTAGAGCGCTTCTGAATAATGTGATGGCGAATACAACGACTTTGTACCTACTGTAGTAGTAAGGATGTACCCATATCAAATCGCTTTAAGTTGCAACATGCCTAAAATTTTTCCAGTGTCGATTACTTGTATTTCAATCTAGTATATGCCTATTCTATGTTGTCACGGGTTTTCATTTTTTACTCTTTATGTTGTGGAATGTTTCAGTGCTTCCTAATGAAATATTGGGTCATTTTAAGCAAAGCAGTATAGTTTCACTGGTTTTAAGCTGGTTCGAATGTCATTTTTCAATTTTCAGCGTTAAGAAAGAGGTATAGATTAGACAGATGAGTCCCAGTAGTGCAATGATACTTGATTATCGCTTACTCTTACCATTTGTTCTTCAACAGCTATAATACTAGCTGAAGCAGAATGACAGCAAGTTTTCCATCCTTAACTTCTAAGGTAATACAACTTTTAGACGTCATTTTTGCTAATTCTTCTATACCCTTCATAAATCTTGTGAAGGTTTTTGTTTTATGACTGACTAGGACTTTGTCACAATCGTCTGCTTTTCCTTCCAAAAGGCCTTCCATATAACACCGGTACATTTCACTCATGGCTTCGCACGATACGAAATAACCACAGACAGAAATTGCTTGAGTATATGGATAGATTGGCTATCATGGTCACTTAAGAAGTTAGAACAAAGTATTATAAGTCGAGAACAGCAGCATCAAAAATTCATCTTCTGAGCTCACTTGCATTTTAGGACTAGTCTATGTTCCGCCTTTATCCGAGTTCAACCGCTTGCTCCCGATCAATGAAACGTCACTTAATCCATTACAAAGCTGCTTCGTTGTTTCAAGTGAGGGGCTCCGAAAGGCCAACTTTGAACTAACTTTGTCATCAATAAACAATTTAGCTATCTATTCTTAATGAACTGACACGAGGTTGTTAACACTTATTTCAATTTTTAGTAACTAACATTTTGGCGCTTCACCTTCAACACCGCTTTTGCTTTCCAAGGAGTACGGCTATCGGTTTGCTGTTCACGTAGGACCATCCTATATCGACAGTACACATGTATACTGTTCAGTGTATTTGACGTTCTAGGTTTATTTATAAGTAATTCATTCACAGTTGCTGTACCGCGCTTCTCACAGACGGCCTTGTGAGAAACCAACAAGAGTTCTGTACGGATGCCATATCATCCCTAGCGTAGCGATTATTCCTACTCCAAATTTTAAAACGCATTCGCTACCATGCATTTTCTCACCGATTGCCAACAACTTGTCAATTACTGTAGTTTTCGAGAACTATAGGTTCTGAGGGGGTTAAAGGACAGATCTCATCCCATCACTGTGTGATTGCATAAATTTTATTCAAATGCCATTTTTGAAATAAAGATTTCCGGCAACATGTAACACGTATGTGGCAAATATTGATATACTAGACGTCCGAAATACTATTTGATCAGGTATATCGCCTGTGTAATTCTTGGTGAACGGTTAGTAAAAAGTCTCACCTAAACCATCTTAGCAATAGGATCACCAGTACGCAAGAACAAATGGGAACTAACAGACCACATAAACAATTTGTCAACACAAATTGCTGGACTTCAGCCCTGAATATAATCGCGGATTCTTCTCAGATTGTCAAAAACGACACTGCTACATTCGTCTTATTCATTCCAAATCCTCTGGCTATGAAGTCTGAAACACCAGCAAAAACAATTATGAAGTGTCCGATTCGGTATTTATTAAACAAAAACACATCTGTCATTCGGAAGCAAGCCATTGCATCTGAAAAAAAGCACGATATTGGACCGAGTGATCGATTACAAAGACAACGTCGACTTGTGCATCAAAATAAGACGATGTTTGTTCTATTCTAACACTTTGAAGTAGACGTTGAAGAAGTTTTTATAAAAAATCTATTGACTATTTTGGTATTGTTTCCTGTGAAAGCATTTGTGAAGCGTAAAAAGCAATAGGAGCTGATCATTTTGTACGAAATGTGCCATCATTCGTAGCACCGCAAAAGTGATTTGATACATAAATGGCCTGGGAAATGACTTGTGGAGGCCTATAAAAGTATCAAGTCAGCGTTTTTCCCTTTGAGGTAAGGCTGGTGCCACTATGTCGACACCAAAAGATGGAAAGCCTTTGTGAACCAGGACGCATGATTGAACCGAAGACCACTACGGAATTGTAGCGCACTTCTAGCTACTATGCCGACCACACTCGTCTGTATATGTATTATAAATTGCTCCCTATATATAATTTTCCAGTAATTTATAAATTAGAAATGCGACTTCCAGTTGTAGTGTACCTGGATTCCAGCTTTCGACGCTATCCATGATTATTGTCTACCATTTCCTGAAAATAGCAAGTTTTAAGGAATTTGATCGAACAATGATAATCATGATATAAGAGTGATTGTATGCAATTAAAATGATAACGAAGCTGAAACACTACTCGAGCACGATGAGTTTTATTTTTCATTCCTCAGCCGTCGAACAACGATGAGTTCTGAAGGTGGGTGAAAATCTTGAAGGTTTTTGTCTCTCTTTGGTTCGAATAGTCAGTGCTCGGCTACTGCTTCCGCTACTATATTATTAGCCAGCTTATACTTTCCAAGTCCTTTGGATCAAAAGCAATTTGCTACAGAAGTCTAGGACGTATGCCTTTACACAAGAGGGATGGAAGGCTTCTTTGATCAGTTGCAGAATGGAACCATAGTCTTGTGCGTGCTAAACGGCATCACTACCACCGCGTTCCCGTGACCCACCCTTTATTTGCCATATTTATATCACATACCTTCCAAGGCCTACGGATTACTCTCATAAAGAGATCTCATGCTGGTGAGACGCTAGGCAACGTGGAGGGTTCCCAGGAAACCGATAAGGGATAAGGAGTTAATTGTGGGCCAAAAGCGACCTTTGCTTTTCTGAGACGCAATTCGAGCTAGGGTATGGACTCTGCGTTGCTGTTGCCCGGATTTAACAAATAGTTTCTGTATTTACGAACGCGTATTCAAACATAAGTGAGTGTGTTCTCGTTTATACTCATTGTATTCTAAGAGACAAAACTGAAGCAGATTTTGCCTCCAATAAATAAGCTCCGTGTCTGGTCTGGGAAACACTGGCAAGCTACCCGTGAGTATATGCAGCTCCCACGTTGAGAGCTCAGAAAGCTATACGTGGGTATCAAGATGCTAAACACAATAAAATAGACAGGCCCCAGTTCCTTGACCTCACGATTTGGCCGCGTTGGGTTGGACGAGTACGGAGAGAAAGAGAAGATCTCAAAACCATTCTAAGCTGCCTAAATCGCTAAGGGTTGAGGTGACGATCTGTACCTACAATGCACGCAAACTTGCATCTTGGTCCTTGATAGAACATTGGATAATGCAGGCAACAAGGATAAGGCACGACGTCATCGGATTAGGCGAGACGAGAAGGTGCCATCCATTATCCAATGCCATATGTGACACCAAAGAAATGTTTCTTATAAGAGGAATCGGCGACGTCAGCGTTTCGAACAACTAACAACCTGAATCAGACGTTTACGAGTGAAGAGATGTGGATCAATACTGGCTTTGACAATCTTCGTCGTTTACGCAAAGACATCAAGCTAAGTCGAAGAAGAAGTTGAAACGTTCTATACGGACTCTGAGGAGTTCTACAGAAAAGAACATACATTCTTCAAGGTCACCATCGAAGAGTTCAACGCTAAAATTGAAGCAAGAAGAACCGCCTGAAAAACGTCGCCTTGAGACCTACGGATTAGTATGGAAAGCGTAGAGTGGCTGCCTGAATTTATCACAACGACTAAGACCATCCATGGTAATTCGCAATTCCAGAAACTCCACCCTCAACGCCGGGGGTAGGAGTCTCCCAATGAAGACTACCATAACGGAATAAACCATATATTAGCAAATCGAAGGTTTTGCTTGGCCGATGTCGCTGTTTTCCCAAATTCTACGCGGGACCAGAGCATTGCCTTCTTCGTGCGAGATTTCACTTCTCATTGGGAGGAGAAAAAGCTGCGAGATTCAAAAAGGGAAGCTTCAAAACCACTATAAACTACGTCCTATTTAGTTCAATAGTCAGCTGCTGGGTAGAAGCCGCTCTGGATAACATCGACGAGAAATACGATCGACTCGTTCAACATCTCCATGCTAGCGATATGAAAGCTTAGTGCAAAGGTCACCAAGAGGTGCCTGCTTCCAGAGTCACTCCAGTTGGCGGGGCCAACGTGGAATTGCACAAGTTACAGGCAACCGCCAGCTCACGACCAAACTTGCAAAACAATACCGATAGGCGATAAAAGAAGATCTTAAAGAGAGAAGAACAGCAGTAATGGTCGAAGCTGCAGTAGTTGGGAAAAGCATTCGCAAAGCTCACCGAAGCTTCGCCAATTACAAGACCAAGATGATTGCACTCCGACACCCAGACGGAACAGTTACAGCGTCAAGAAAGGCAATGGAGAAAACCATTCACGAATACTACTCGGATCTCGTCGATAGCCACGTCCACCTTCCGTCATATGAAATAAAGGAGGGTGGATATGTTGTACCATCAGTTCTCCGTTCCGGATTCCGACATGCCATT